AATTTTCCAAAATTGCATTTGAAGAAGGCTTAGGAGGGAGTAAATTGGGAAAGGTTCTGGTGGAGCTGGGTGAAGGATGGTGCTTTTATGTTGCTGTTACGAAATAGAATTCTCTCTATTCTCAGAACTATTCATCTCATATGCACTTTTAACCGCTCAGGGGCTTGCTTCTTAGACATATAGCAATTGAAGGCTTTCTTGTAAGGACATACATATCCCTGTCTTCTAATGCAAGTTATTTCGTGCTAGTTTTCCCAGGATATTATTTCCCTCTTAGTAATAAATATACTTTCATAACAATAAAAAATGAAAATATTGGCCAAAAAATATCAAATTATTGAAATAAAACACTCACCCAGATGGGGACCACTCTTGAGACATATTTCATGTATCCTCAATCGTTCTCTCTGAACACCACATAGTCCTTGAAGAAGAATCTCCAAAGCCTCAACATGCTGTGAAGAATAATAAAATATTAAAAGCCAAGGTTGTCATAGACAGTCTTTCAACATGAAAGTTTCCTTCTGGAAAAATCTAATACTAACAGAACATATCTTGATTATCTAAAAGAATAATTATGGATAGAGAACAGAAAGAATGTTTACATTATTATTTCTGTTCAAGAAAAATTGTGATTCTATTGACTTTCATCAAATAATGTGTGCAAAAGTGGGTTCATGTTTGACAAATAATCATTTGTTTTTTCCCAAGTTGTCTGTGACAAATACGAGTGATTATTTCTTCCAATTAAGAAAGAAAAACAGACTTAGAATGGTTTCCATGAGACAACCTGTCTTTCAAGTGTAGATTCAAATAAATAATTATAATAAAGTAGGACAATATACCATCATGCATACCCAAGCTATTAGAAAATAGTGTTACTTTCTATAACAACAATAGCTTCTTCACACACAGGGGATCAACTTATTTTAGAACATATAGATTCACAGGAAAATATAGATTTGTGCGTACAATGAGAATACTCAGTGTCAACATATTATTGTAAACAGATATCAGAATTTTTTTGAACATTTTAGTAGAAGTGAAAATGATCAGTTTGGAATTTTAATATTTGAAAACTTTGTGAGAACAATGGTCTTATTCTCATATAATAAGCTTATTGTATTCAATTATTAGAGTGATATTTGAATACTGATGAAATAATCAAACACCTTTTCTCATTGCAAGCAACTGTTGAAAGATAATCTTTTTATTATGTGATTGAAAACTGATTCTATAGAGCTTGGAACAGGTCATTAATTGCATCTCACTATGATATATTCAGACAATTTGAACAATTGATTCTATACATCGAATTCTCAAAAAGATGACAGCTTAAAAGAAGTTTCAATTTTTAAATGATTAACCCTTTATCAACCATGATAGAAATGCATAGGCAAAAGTAGAGCTGTCAAAACGGGTAACCCGGCTCGATCCGGTCCGGCTCACCACGGGTTAGTCACTTAGTGAGCCAACCCAACCCAATTCACTTATTAGCGAGCTGAAAAAGTTTGAATCCAGCCCGACCCACCACGAGTTGGTAGGTTAAACAGGTTGACTCACTGACTCATTTAATTATAATTTTTTTTAAAATAAAAAAATTACAATTTTTTAATTCAAATCTAAATAAATGTCACACTAAAATGATGTTAAACTCCAAAGACAATTCAAAATAAAAAAAAGTATCACATAATCCAAACGTAATCCAAAAACATGTAAAAAAGGCGAACAAATAAGTTTTTAATATTGATAATTTTTGTATCACTTATCCAATTATAATATTAGAATTTTGAATAGATAAATCTATAATATTTGTCTCTCTTGAAACATCTTCTTCTTTATCACCATCTACAATATAATAAAAAAATGATACTAATAATATTGAAACACAAAATAGTAAGTAATTAAATTAAATTAGGTAGGTTGGTGAGCCAACGTGGCTCATCACAGGTTCAACCCGGTGAGCCGGGTTCTAAGTGAGTCGGGTTGAAAACTAGTCCACATAAAAAAAATTACATTTTTTTCAAACCCAAGCCGGTTCAAACCCGTGGTGAGCCGGGTTGTCTAGCGGGTTACAACCCATTTTGACAGCAATAAGCAAAAGGTAATTAAGGTTTGGTGAATATAACAGTAGAATTTTTCAGTTAAACCTTTAACTCATATTTTAAATAATTTAGAAGTTAAGGACACAATGAATTTCCAGATTTTCCACAGTGAATTTCTCATTCACATAAACACACAAGCATTCTAGAGATAACTTTAACCATGCAGATAATGTTGACTTTAACCCTAAGAAAGTGACTCTTTTGACCGATAAATCATTCTTGTGATTATTTAGTAACTAAATTTGTTTAGCCTTTGCACTTAACTTTTTTCCTTTGTATTTTTTATTTGAGAAAGGTAGTGGCTACTCAATCCTTTTCCTGACCGTCTGGTGCCTTGAGCATTCCGTTAATTTATCATTATCCTACCTTGGTGGCAGAATTCAACACTAAATACATGCAACACACCAGCGATCAAGATCAGGATTCTAAAAATGGAGATTGTCATTAACATGAAACAGACTTATAATAACTCACATCAAGAGACCATGGCTAAACCAGATAAAATCAATTCAACAATACTTCCCCATACTTAAAAAAAAAAAGCCAGTTCCAATTAACAATTCAAATAAAACATAAACTGACCTGTGTCTCTATAATTCCCTGAACCACACATTCCATATTCGCTAAGCTCACCTGCATTATTACACAAAAGATATGCGTATTATGGAAGTCAAAATTGCCTTTCAAAACGAAAGATCTTACGTTTTGTGCATACTGTGAAGCAAAAGATCACAGAGAAGAAAAACGAAAGATCTTACGTTTTGTGCATACTGTGAAGCAAAAGATCACAGACAAGTGTTTTGTGCACTTACATGTATCTATTTTGTAATTTTGATTTTAGTTTTACTGGAACACTGTAATAACGAAGAGTGAAGAATGAAAGGAAAGCAGCGAAAACCTAAAACTCAAATCATAAAAACTTTGAAAACTAGAATCATTCATACTCTGTGATGCACATAAAGAAACAAATGGGGAATAAGAGGTTAATTGACCTGCTTAGTTTCTACTGAGATGAAAACGATGAAAATCTAAGTCCTCTTAGGTGTTGTCAATTGTCAAAACGCTGATCGAGGTTCTTCAATCTTCCGAAATAGCAATCTCTGCTTTTACAAGTAAAAGGGGAAAATCAGAAGAAAGTGAAGGAAAGGAACGATGAAACATTTCACTCCTTGAGCACCGCGAGTTTATGAATTTCTTCAGCACTATGATACGACGTCGTAGAATGTCCTTTTCTTAAATCCAACATTTTTTATGTTGTTTTTCCTCGGACAAATTCAATTTTTGTTTCTAAATTTTTTTAAAATAAATTAGTTTTAAAACAACAGATTTTCTCTTTGTTTGGTGTGCCTAGGTCTTTGTAACCGAGGATCTCATTTTTGCCGTGCTGAGTTAATTGAGGTTTTTAAAACATTATAAAGTGAGTCATTGTCTCTCCTTATTATCCTTAGACAAATAGTTAAGCTAAAGTGCCAAATCGGGAGATTAAAAGGATCATTGAGAAAAATGTGTCATCATCTAGAAATGATTGGTATGTGAAATTAGATGACATTTTGTGGATTTACCAAACTGTCACGAAGATTTCTACAGGATTAACTCTTTTTCAGTTAGTTTATGGAAAATCATCTCATCTACAAGATAAACATATTTTAAATCAGATGGTAAAGGCTTAACTCTAAAGTGGGTGGTTGTACCACAGATAGAAGCATTTTACAGCTTAAGAAAATCTCAAACACCTAGCATCACACTCAAACGTCACAAAAATATCATTTATTGATTTATTGACATCGCGTCCTTAATATCATCTGTTTTATAATTTTCTTTGTCATCTAAAATCGTATATGACATTTTCGATAAAGAAAAATCCAAAGATGAAGAAGACATAAAAAGAAAGCATATAAGAAATTAGAAGAAAAAAGTTTACCACATCACTCAATAAATCAATACAAAACGGAGAATAGTCTTTAATTTGGTGTTTCATTACATTAAACTGAACCTTACGTGCACATCTATCTTGATACATGCTGCCATCATGAACGTTCTTCCCAAGATAATAGTGGTCGAAGTCATTCTTTCATCATCTTTCATGTTCAAATGTAGAAATAGGCAAAAAAAAAAGTTAATTTGTCCACACAAACAAACATGTCCTCAAGCATTCCCGGTGGGTTAATTGTGCTATGATTGACAATTTGAATGACCATACTAAATGTCTTTAAGAGGTCTAAGAATAAAAGTAGTAAAACTTAATAAACATTACATTTATAAAAAGCTCATAAATCTAACATTGCTTTTTAATATTAGAATAATCTAATATTATTATTTAAAATACAATATCAATTCTAAAATATTATTTTTTAGAGTTTAATAGTTAACAATTTGTTTTCATTTGTTAAGTTATTTATTTATTAAATTAAGAAAATAAATAAGTGTTTCAATATTTAAATGACTTATTAAATAATATTTCGATTATTATTTTTATTAAAATTTGATATATTCGTTAAAAATACTTTATGTTTATTCTTGAATTGTATAATACATTATTAGACTGCATTAAATAAGTTTTAAGTTTAATCATTTCAGAGGTCCTATTTGTGCATATTCATACCAATTAGGTCATCGTATTTTCAAAGAGTTCAATTAGGTTCATTTTTCTGTAAAATTGAGTCATATATGACCTTGCCGTTAAATGTTGTGGACGACGTTAAATTTGGTGTCCGGTGGCATGCTGAGCTAATAATTAATAAGCACATGTCTCATTATGTGGATTTATTTTATTTTAAGTTTAAAATAAGTTATATTTTAAAAAAATAGAATGTTATATTTATTTATGGAAATGAAATTAAAACGTATTAGGGTTAAGTTTGGGATTTTGTGGTCAAACTTTGAGTGTGTGCGAAATTAGGGAAAATTGGAGAAAATAGGGTTAGTGAGTTTGTTGTTCTTGTTCGAAATTAGGGAACATAGAGTTTTAGTAGAAGAAAATGAAGCAACTTGAGTAGCAGAAGGAGAACCCCCAATCATAGTTCCTTTAAACTCAGTAGTCGTAGTTGGGTACTGACTCAACCTTATACACTCCTTGATCTCATCCCCTACAATTTGACCCACCATGGTAGCTGGCAAAAGATGCACATTGGCAAGAAGCTCTTCACCATTCTCGGCAGGGTTAGTGAAAATCATTCCCAACCCACCGGCAAGCTTCACTGCACTCCCCTTCTCAACCCTAGCATTCCCACCCCTGTCGCAAACAACAATCTTCCCCTACACTTTAGAAGGTAGCAAAACAGTAGTGGACGGACCGGGCCCTGAGTTCTCAGCAAAACACGAAACTAGAACATTGTGACGAGCAATGCCGAAAGCTCCCAAAGCGATCGAATCACGGAAATACTGCGGTGAGTACCCTGACTCGCCGACAGAGAGCAAAATCACGTGAACTCCATCGGCGACAACCTCGTCCATTGTGGCAAGAATATCATAATCAAAGCAACCATATTTTGAGTTAGGGATTTTGAGCTTTAGATTGAGGGATTTAATGAAATCCAAATTGTTTTCCATTCGTATTTAAAATAAATCCACGCAATGACTTCTTACTGTGCCACGTGCTTATTAAATGCTAGCTCAACATGTCACCAAACAACAAATTTAACGTCGTCCACAACAATTAACGGCAATGTCATAATTGACTCAATTTTACATAAAGAGGATCCAATTGAGCTCTTTGAAACTACAATGACCTAATTGACATGAATCTAATTGTGCCACGTGCTTATTAAATGCTAGCTCAACATGTCACCAAACAACAAATTTAACACTGTCCACAAAAATTAATGGCAATGTCATAATTGACTCAATTTTACATAAAAAAGAACCTAATTAAGCTCTTTGAAAATACGATGACCTAATTGACACCATTAATAACACAATTAGGGACTATAAGTTTTACCTCTAAGATATTTAATAACATTAATTGAACTATATGAAATGCTGTATTTATTACGAAATTACTTACATTACTATTTCGTTGTCGTTTAGCATGTTGCATTTAATAAGAACTTCACATTTTTCCTATAAATAATCAGAGATCAACTTCTTGTAAAACTATCACCATATTATTATAACGAACATCAAAATTTCAAAATTTGCAAGATGAAAGATATGTCAAAGAATTCATTCATATTAGCATTCTTATTTGTAATTCTCGCAATAGAAGTTTATTATGGTATTTATTTTCTCTTTATTATCCTATGCTTTCTGAATATTATTTTTTTTCTTGTGCATACCTTAATAAAAAGATGCAATTATTTTTACAGGTCATTCACTTTCAATGGAAACAAACAGAAAAGATGGTGTTATAGTTGTATGTCCATGCCAAACAAAGAAGGATTGTATTCGCAATATTCGCTCTTTACCATGCGGTCCGTCAGTAGTTTATTGTTTCGAAGGGTATTGTCGTTGTAATCATATAAACCAGAAATCAGGTATTCAAAATTGGTTTATTAAAGAAAATATTCTCGTATGAAATTCAAGTGTTTTTATATTTTTAAAGAAAATAAGATTATGTGGATAAATTGACTATTATCAAATTAAACGAATATATATGATATTCTTCTACGTTAGTTAGAAGAATTTTTTTAATTTCTTTCGTAGTAGATATTAATTTTTAGTATTCAGAATTGTTTAATTGTTTTTGTTGAAAGTCCCTTTTATGATTTTTCATGTGAATTAGGTTTGCGCCCATTTTTTTTTATTTTCTTTTAATAATAATTTTCATGTAAAAACATTATGTTTAGCAGAAATTTATAAAAAAAAATTGTAAATGTTTTCAGTGTTCTCGTGATATATTCTACATTAAATGTTTTATTTTATTTAGTTTTATTGACATTATAATTATTCAATTTTGCAGGTAATTTGTTTCCGAGAGAGCCAATAGGAGAGGCAGGAGTGAATGATTCTACATGAAACATTTTAAATAAATGTATTTGAAGGTTGTAAGATTCAAGGACTCTCATGGGATAGTTCTAGCCTAAATAATATTATGAACTGTATGGCCATAATTGAAATATATAAAAATAAATAATAAATCAAAAAGTTTCATTTTTTTTTCATGCCCATAATGCACTTTAAGAGCTTCCAATAACTAAACCAATTTACGATTGTCTAAAGGTAAATCACCTTTTTTTTTTTATCGAATTCTAATATTGTCTAAAGGTGAATCAACTTTTTTTACTAGCAAAGATAAAAACAAAACAAGATTAGTAATACTGTAATTACATATATTCATTGAATGATTAAATATAAAATTCTTTTTATGTAGAAAATTTATATTCTATAACATTCACATTAAAACATAAAAAAAAAAAACAAAAAGAAAGTGTGCAACGATTTGCAATACACTTATATCTTGTTTATTGTATTTTTTTACAATTTTTTTCCTTAGAAGACAGAGCTTCAAAGTGTCAAGGTTTTCCATTAAAGCTTTCAATCAGCAAACACAATATATCCTCGTTGTGGGTTAGCTACGTTGGTTGATATTGAAGCATTTGTTCAATCATATTCATATTACTCATTGTTTATATTATATATTTAAGACTAGATACGACTTAATTGTTTAATTATTGCAAGAAATAATATTTTAGTTATAAAAAATTTTAAAACTTATTTAGTTCTTATTTTCACATAAAAATCTTAAAATCTTAAAATATTTTTGGGTTTGAGGTAACTCTTAATTAATTATGAGGAGTTTTATTATAAGAGAAAATATGCATTGAAAATCATTAAAGATACAAATGTATTTCAATAAAATAATAAGCTAGCATTGACTTTTGGTATACCTCTTAAAAATTCAAAACCATATCAATGGTTGATTTGACTGTTAATCTATTTATTTGTGACTAGTCATGATCTTGCTTACTTTATCCATATTTTATCTCAATTTATGTAGAATCATCATAAAAAGCATTCGAAGACAACTTTAAGGGTTATTAGATATTTCAAGAAACATTTGGGACAAGGTATTTTGTTGTAGTCTCACAGTAAACTGGAATTGTAAGGATTGTGTGATTCATATTGGGTAGGTTGCCCATTTATAAGATTTTCTTTGACTGGTTAGATGGTACTTATTGGTTCTTCTCCAATAGTTATGCCACAAAAGTCTTCTTATACTGGCTAAAAAAGGTTTTTTATAATAATTTTCGAACCAATGTTTCTTGTGGTCACCATTGGATTTTTTTCCTACATCTTTGGGCCCATAGTGGACACCAAAATGTTTATGATGTTGAGGTTAATCTTTTTCTCAAAATAGTCTCTAAAACTCCAAGCTCGAGTTAAAGTTCTTTCTTCTTTTCACACTAGATGTTGTTCGGTTAAGTCGAGGAACCAACAACCTGAATACCACAAATTTATATTTATAGATACAGGGTGAGCTTCTGATTAGTGTTCACCTAATTATGACCAAATAGTAATGATCTAGCTTAGTATTAATGTAATTACATTTAACGTTAATCTTTACTTGGCCAATCGTTCAAGTTCTCAACCGACCACAATAAAAATGTAGGTTGATTGACAGTATAATTCTTGGATTGACTATCGATCATAATATACAGTATAAAATATATGTATATATATAGTTATATTATTTTGAAAAAAAAAAGCTTAATAGAGATTCTAATTATACATTTAAACATCAATTGTATAACTATATAACTTAATATTTATTTTAGGATTATCTATTAAGTTTAATTAATGTTTTGAAGAATTAAAATTTATTTTATTAAATGATTAAATTACAAACTGTTAACAAAATAATTAAAATATAAATAGATATGATATAAGATAATAATTTTAATAAACTGATAAAATTATATTAAAATTTGCATTTAGTTATTATAATTAGTATCATTTATACTGTGCCAGATCCAAATACATTAAATTAAAATATTATGGATAAATAATCGGTTCAGTTAATAAATATTGAAATATTATAATTTAATATGAAAATTTTAATTTTATAAATTTTTTTAACACTGATTTAGGTAATTGAAATACAGTTAAATATACCGTATTGCCATGTTTATAAAACGAAACGTTAGTTAGTCTTTTTATTTTACAAATTTACAATCTCTGTCTGTTCTTTCAGAACTAGTAATATTAGTTTATTTTAGCAAAAACACTTCATAATTAATACAAGCATGATTAATTATTAAATACATATTAATAAAAAACAGAGTTTATTAGGAAAAAATTAAATTTACGTGTTATCTACTTAATTTGAAGAATCGATTTCAAATAAAATAAATAAAGAATAAATCATTTTACATGCTCTTTATTTATTTGAAACTTCATATATCAAATATGAATCAAATATTACAACCGAATCTTCCATAAACTAAATTAAATGCATTAAAATTATATTAATTCAATGAAGTTGAAAATGTAGAAAATAATAAATTGTATACACGAAACCATTTCGAATTTGAAGTATTGAAGAAATAATGTTTCCTCTGACACTAATATCAACTCCACCCTCTGCTATAAATATTCAAACCAACAATGGCACACCATGAAAACCCCCTTCTCTCTATTTACACAAATTTCATCATCTCTTCATCAATAATAATCCTAAAAATCACAACAACCTAGGAGATATGTCAAAGGTTTCGTTCAGTATCGCATTTTTGTTCGTCATCATTTTTTGCATGGAAGCCACTCAAGGTGTGTATTTGTTTTATATTTATCTTCCATGTTTTATGTAATATTCTCCTCGTATTTCTTATATTAAAATCATTTTTGTGGGTCTTTCATTATGCAATATATATTCTTATATTAAAATTTTTTTTAGGTCTTTCCTTCTCAAGGATAGAAACAGAGAAGGTTGGAGTGGTAGATTCATCTCAATGTTTTACCAATCAAGATTGCATTCGCTTTACTCCATTTCTGAATTGCAAGGGATCAAATGCGATTTGTAGAGATGGTGTTTGTGTTTGTGGAGGAAAAATTATGTAATATGAAAAAATTGAGTGAAATATTCATTTCAATGTTTTACATCTCATAACTATGTATGAATAAAAATGTTAAAATGCGTTTATTGAATTATAAAATATTATTTTGGTCTCTATTTTTTTATGTATTTGTTTAATTTGATTTTTTTTTCACATTTAATATTGCTTAATTTTTGTCAGATTTATTAATTTAGTTCTTTTTGTCAGATTTTCACTTGTAAATGTCACTATTGTTTCACGCTCGTGGTGGTTGTGTCATTGTTTTTTGTCCAATTCAATCTTTATACTCGTTATTTTGATTCGATCCAGTCTTTTTTACATGGAATAATTTTTTTCCTCTTCAAATATGTATTAGTATAATTATTAGCAGTAATAATTTTTATGGATAGAAAATATAATTAATAAGAAAATTATGGCAAGTTTAAAAAAATTATGATATAATTTCAGAAGGATGGGTTAAAA